GAATACCAACTAAAGATTTTTTTCACATACCAACTAAAATAACATTACAATAGATTATGTGCAGTAGTATGAGAATCTAGCTGTTTTCAGTTAAACCATACACAAAAAATTTTTACATTTGTAAAAATGTGAAACACTTGTCACGATTTTTTGTTTTGTAAAATGTAATTATTCTTCATAAAATGTTATTTGTAGCTTGTAGTAGAATTATTGTTATTCTTTCATGAGTTACTATATATTTTTTAAATTTCTCAGTTTAATGTCTAACATGATAAATATCAATACACATACCCAGTGCTGTGCTGGCACCAGCTCATGAGAGCCGATTGTGTGCACATTTTTCCAGCTTTGTGTTCAGTGTCATCTGTTGTTGGCTTGAAACCTACCATAGTAGGAGTATTTACGTTACAGAAATCAGCAAAAGGTACAAATCAGCATTCTCCCTTCCCAAGAGCTGGTTGTTAAATATTTACAGCACCCTACTTGATATAAATCACATAAACAAAAGCTCTTTGAGGTCATCATTGATTTTTAAGAGTGTAAAGGGATGTCCTGAGACTAAAGTTTGATAATTAGTTGTGTGGCAAAAGGAGTACCTTTTAGTAATCGATTCACACAGAGGTTGATACTTTTTTAATTTTTAGCCTGTTGTGCTGGGAACATTTATAGAATAGATCCTCCCAATGTTTCTTTTGTTGTTTTTTAACTTCTAGTTGTTAAATCTACTGGTTCTATTGTGTGATAACCTTTTTATTTTCCCAAAAATCTAAGGTAGACAATAATACTCCAGAGCATGTGGGATGAATTTGCCCTTGGTATATATAGGATGTCCTAAAGAAATATATACACACACTTTGAATAATTATAAAGGCAGTGTTTATTAAAATACATTTCATTTTCAAAATTGAGCTATCAGCTGTTAAAGTTTGTATACATTTCTTTGGGGACACCCTGTATGTTGAGTGTCTTTGCCCTAGTTTCTCACTTTTCTGTTGCACTGTTATCCGGGCTCATATTAAGGCCCAGCTCAAGCTGTGGCTTCTACACAAAGCCTTCACTTATTGTTCAGGTCTACGCGGATCTTTCTATTCTGTACTCTGGAGCAATTAGTTCTCAACTGTTTCGTGTGCTTTTTATTGTTTCTTAGGTGTTAGTTTTAGCAATTTGGCATTTTACCCTAATGCACCCAGTACAATGCTCATCACGTAGGTTCTAGTGCCTGGATAAAAGATTTTTTATTTTTGGATTGCCAAAGAAGTTCACTTTCCAAGGAAATGATGTTGTAAATAAACCTTATTTGTTTTAAACCCAGTTTTTAATAATTCTCTTAAAGTATTAGTATAAGTAGATTGGAAATTACTGCTGTTTCTTAAAGAGGTTCCACAGATGATTTCTGAAAAATTTGTATGGTTCTACTACCACCCGTAATAGAAACTGGCAGCTTATTAAGTCATAATGAATAGTGAAACTTAGTAAAATGAGGCAGTTTCTAAGGTTATGCTGGCCGAGTTGTGTACTAATTAGAAAACTTGGCAGGTTTTGAAATCAGAGGTATGGAGGTATTACTGTTTTTCCAGTAGGGATCTCTGTCAAAAGCACTCAAGGTAGCTGTACTGTCTTTGTGCAAGCTAAGTGATGGTTCTGGCTCTCTATCTGGATGCTCAAACTAGAGGAGAGGAAAAGTGTAAGAGGGTCACACAAGCTCCAAGGCATGAGCTTTTTCTGGGTCAGAAACACTCAGGGCATGAGAGGTCTAGGGATTTCTTTGGCCTGTGCCTTTTTCATGATTATGGGGGTATAAAGGTAACTGTGATTTTCATCAGTATAGAGACAGGACATTAGTTTGCATCTGGAATAATTCTAGAACATCATGCCGAAAGTTTCATTTATTAAAAAATAATTCACCATATTTAAGTTCTTTCTCCAATTTCTCTTAAGAAGTTATAGAGGGTAGTTTCTGTTCTAGCCCAAGCAAGGCTTCACTGTTAGTAGTCGTGAGGTCGTAGTGAGGTAGTTTAACTGCTTTAGAACTTTGTGCTTGGAATATTCTTAGCCACCGAAGCATGGGAACCGAAAGTGAGGAGCATGGGTTCTTTACTATCTATCACATCAGAGAATGACTGTTCCAGGACAGTGACCATCTCCTAATGGTAAGTACCCAGGCTTGCTTATTATTTCTTGGAAGCAGGAAAAATAGGCCAGTCATCAGAATAATGGTATTTCTTTTTTTGAAAAGCAAAAAGAACAAGCAAAAAGGTCCAGCCTTAATCCTCAATCATGATCATTTTTGCAGGTTTCTGTAGCTGGATCAGGCACCGGAAGAGGCTCCCCAGCTATAACTCTAGTACAGTTACCTTCAGGCCAAACTGTACATGTCCAGGGCGTAATTCAGACACCACAGCCATCGGTTATTCAGTCACCACAGATACAAACTGTTCAGGTTAGCTTCCTTCCTGGATGATTTGTCTTTGACTTTCTTGAGCTTGAGCTTTTTTTTTTTTTTGCTTTACTAATTTATCATCATTTCATTGTGTAGCTTTTATGATCAAGTCGTTTTATTAGAGATTTGGAGGAATTTCCTTTTATCTGTGAAGTGCATTGTACTCTGCTAGATCCATAGATTTGACTTAAGAGTTGCCATTTTGTTGTTAGCTTTTAATTTGCAGGATGAGTAATTGCCAGATGAATAATTCTTCAAATTGTGTTCTTTTCTCAAACTCTGATTTATTTAGCAAAGCTGAGTATTCTTTGGCGATGCCTGATAAACATAGCAATATAAAGATTATAGTACTGATTCTATTTTCATGAATACTTTAGTAGGAAGGTAGAAGCTGAAGTTTATTTTTAATTCAATATATGTAATCCATAGAAAAGAATGATATTATTGTCTTTGGTCTTATGTTTATTCATCATATATCCCTCTCATATTTAACCTTGGTTTTGTAGATGTGATTATTATTATGATTGTGATCCAGAGATGTGTTTTATTATGTATTATTATCAAGGTTGTTTTTAAATCCTTAGCATTTCTTGAAACAAACTTTTTTTCCCCATCAATCGATATAAATTATTAAGTATACATACCTTTCTTGTGTACTGAATTTATTTCTCTTCTTTTTTTTTTAGGTCAGTTTGCTATTGATCTTTAAATGTTAGAATTATTTGAACCTAATTGGTGACAAAAGATCTTTGAGGGAAAAATAGATGCACATAATCAGTCTTGTTTCCCTGTGTCTGAATACAGTTTACTGCAGAATAAGGATGAGGGGGCAGCGTGATCTTTGAAGTAATAAGCCCACATGCAGTAGAAGCTCAGTTATCTTTGCAGCACCAGTGTCTTAATAATTCTTGGTATTATTTTTTATTTTAATCCTCCAGTAATGTCTCTTGGTTCCAAGAGTTCCTGACTCTTTCTGACTCTAATTATAAAACAAAAAATCTTTCCATTCTTCTTTTTGTATTAAGACTTTTATTGGGGTACAGATATTGCTTAGTTTTAAACTGGCTGGTACTGGAAGAAAGTATTGTCTTATGTTCAGTAGGTTTTTTGGATGTTGTGAAATGGATGATTTAATTATCTTTGTAGAGATAGGTGGCAGTGGATCTTGTCTTAAAATTTCTACCTGTTGAATGATGGACAAGCCAATCTCTCTGTGTGAACTTCAGTTTTTGCCTCTCTGAAGCAGGTAATTAACAGCCTACCTCACATAAGGAGGTTGTTTTAATTTTAGGAGAGATGTGTGATGGCCCAGTGTAAAGTGATAAATACTTACTGGCAGTATATGATTGTCTGATTGTAATAACATTTTTTCTAATTCATTCTATTCATTGGCTAGTGTGCTTATTTGTGGGGTATTCCATGACAAGAGATGCATGGTCATATAGTAGGTGAACATGTATGCTTATTCATGTCCCTTGGGAGGTATATATTCCTGCTTGCATTGTTCATATTTTAATAAGTTCTTTTGATTTTGCCCAAATCAGATTCCCATGTAATTGTAACATTAAATAAAGTGAGTTTTGTAAACTCATAACTATCTTAGGCTTTGAATGATAAATGGCTGAATATAATGAGAGCAGTCATGTTGTAGAGAGATTTTTTATTTTAGTTCTCTGACTTTATTTAATAATCATGTTATTGACTTGAAAAAAATGAAATCATGCTTAAAACTCTGATCTTTCTTTTAAGGAGATATTACTTCTTTTGACCTTCAAGACCTACCATTATCAGGCCCCAGCCTACTTGTAATACAGGATTGTTTACCTGCTTAAATATTCTTTCTTCTTTGGACCTACCTATCCAATGTCTAACATGTCTAACTTGAAGACACAGCTCCAGTCAGCTGTGGTGTTGTGAAGAGGGCAGTGAAATCAAGATGCTTTTTCTGCATCTATTACTCGCTCACTCACTCCCTGTTGGATAAGTGAGAGTGCTTTCAGGGTTGGGTCTTATGTATCTTATATTTAGGCCTTTCCTATGAAGCCTCACTTGATGTTCTAACCACTCTTTTATTTGCATTTCTGTAGTATTTATTTATCATCTGCTCCATTTCTTTCCATACACACTTGTTCTATAACTGAAATGTTTGTCTGTGCTTCCTTTCCTAAGCCAGATGTGAACTCCATTAGTGTGGGGTCATTATGTTCTGTTATTGGGCACTTCCCCAGCACCTGGCTTAGTACTGCATACAGAGACCCTTAGTCACACTTCTTTTAAAATTCTCACTCTAGGATATGTTTTTGGGGGAGGGGGAGAGGCAGACAGAGAGACATTGATGTGAGAGACAAACATTGATTGGTTGTGTCCGGTACACACCCAGACCGAGGATTGAACCTGCAACCTAGGTATGTGCCCTGACTGGGAATCGAACCCATGACCCTTTGGTGCACAGAATGATGCTCCAACCAACCAATCCTCCCGGCCAGGGTCTTAGTTGCACTTTTTTGAATGAAGGAGATCATATCTTTTATGATGCATTTCAGAAACTCTTGTATTATAGGTAGCAACAATCGCAGAGACAGATGAGCCTACAGAATCAGAAGGTGTAATTGATTCTCATAAACGCAGAGAAATCCTTTCACGAAGATCCTCTTATCGGTAAGTTGTTTCCACTGTAATGATACTTTTTTAAAAAAAGAGAGCAAGGCTATATCAAACCAATTCTTCTGTAGCTTTTCTGTTTTAAATTTCACTTCTATATCTTAATTATTTATATTGTTAAATTATGTTTTAGAAAAATACTGAATGAACTTTCCTCTGATGTGCCTGGTGTTCCCAAGATTGAAGAAGAAAAATCAGAGGGAGAAGGAACGCCACCTAACATCGCTACCATGGCAGTACCTACTAGCATATATCAGACTAGCACGGGGCAATACAGTATGTATGCTGCAATTTGATATGATACAGTGCTAGCTTAAAGTCTTCTCTCGTTACATTGAAGCAACTCAGGCTTTGGCATTAAACAGTTCCATTTAAAAAATGCTGCATCTGTTGAGATGTATTGTAATTACTATTGTTTATAAATGCCATATCTTATCTTTCTTTTAACAAATTACGCAATTCTTGCCAAAATAAATACCATTATCTGTAGGCTTCAGGGAATTTCCCAATTTAATTAGTGTGTGTGGGAGAACGAGAAAAAGATAGAGATGGTAAAACATTTCCCAAGGGGAGAAAGCTCTTGTATGCATGGATATTCCTTCCATCCTTAGTGATAATTAGGCTACCCCAGGAAGTTCATTATCTTTGAAATAAAAGATCTCCTGTTTAAAACTTTTCAAAGGAGCGGTGCATCTTGAAGATTCTCCCTGGGGTTAGTGTGTGTCTAACTCCATTTCATTAAACCTTTCTTTTCTTTATTTTAAAGCGTTGGCTGTAAAGTCAGAAATGTACTAAATAAGAACAAACTGTATTTAATTTAGAGAAAAAGGAATAAAAACGAAAACTCAGTCTTACGTAAGCTCCAAGGTGCTAGGGTTTAGAGGGCTTTTCTAGTTTTATGAGAATTTGTACTACTGATTTTTATATACTCTTGTTTTTGAGAGGAACAGATCTCGGGAAATTGTTGAGTTCCAATGGCATTTCACTGTGATCCCTCTCAAACTCAAATCAGTTCTCTAACTCAGTGACAAGTTTTCTCTTCGGCTTACTGTCCTGTGAAATGTCAGTTCTGCTTCCCCAGAAGTCACCTGTTTACAATGAGGCAATGCTTCCCTCAGTGGGAAGGCCATTGGCCCTCTTGATTTGGATGTATGTGCTTAATTCAGAGTATCTAAACCTAATCTGTAAGAGTTCTTCTGTTAATTGTATTATTGATTATTTTGATTATCTTGCTTGAAGCTTAATCATACTTTTTGATTTGATAGAAATAAAGGTTTTTATGCTTTAAAAAAATGCATCATAATACCTAAACTGTGTATCAGAATGAAAAGCACATGTTAAAGAAGTGAGAGATTTGTATTGACAGTTGTCATATAATTTTGGAAAGTAAAAAATTTTTTACTGAATATTGAAGAAAATTTTGAGTTTAAAATAAAGGGAGGTGTTTTTTTTTTCTTATTTATATGTTTATATTCATGTTTAGTAAAAGTTTAAAACTTACTGTTTTTTGTTGCGTTTATGATGCATGCAAACATACTAAAATATAAATGCCTGTATTTCATTCTTGTTGGCTTTTACTACCAACAATTACGTTTTCTACTTACTAATTTAAAAGAAGCACATGTTTTCTAAACTATGTTTTTAAATGTAATTCTGGTTTCACTAGTCTACTGTGTTGACTTGTGCTGCAGTTTTTACTAGACAAGAATGGAAAAATGTTTAATTTTTTAAAATTGCAGCAATTAGATACTTTTATTTGAAACTTTAAGCACCAAAAGCTCTAAATAAACATAAATTCACACTTAGTCTTGTGCATTTTAATGGGCTGTTCATTCTGTGCTTTTTGCTCCCTTTAAAGCACTAGGTTTTTTTCCCCCCAAATCAAGACCATTTGATACATAAAAATACTTTAGTAAAAAAAGAGATCTAGGAAGAAAAAAAGGGTAGGGGCAAACAAGACCAGATAAAGGACTGAAAAAGGGTTTTAAAAAAACACACAACAAAGCTGCCTAGGTACTGGAATGTGTGATTAAATACTGTGTTGGTTCAAAAACAGTGTTAAGATTTTAGATGTGTTTTCTGTTTTCCTTTAAAAAGTAGTAATACCTAGAAAAGTCCCAAGTCTTGGCTGTTAAAACAAGCTACAGTCTCCTTTAATCTGTGGGAAAACCTTATAGAGTCGTCAGTTTTTTAGGATTTTTCTTACGGTGGTGGTAGATTTGCAGATTTGGTAATTCAGGTTCCTTGGGTGTTCCTACAGGGTGCTGAGTGGACATGTGCAAAGTCCATGTTAGGAAAGGAAAACTTCCCACTGTTTAAAAGAGTTGGACCTTGAGGTTTTTGCTGTCATTTCTCTTATATTACTTCTCTGCTTTATATGCCTTTATGTCTGGCCCACTGGGAACATATGGTGGGAGTTTTAGAACTGAAAATCAGAGTTTGCCAGCTGTGGGCCTTGGCAGTGCAACACATAGTGCCCTCCATCCCCAGAGTGGCTGTGCAGGGCTTGCATGGACCTGCTAGAATCTCCTGACTGGTCAGCTGTGCACATATTATCATTTTCTATTTGTGCTATGACAGGGAAAAAGTTGGAGATTACTGATTAAGTAATGCTCAGACATCTTAAAATTTGGGGAACTTAGATGCTGTCATCTCGAACATATCATCTTGAACATCATCTGGCGTATCCTAATGCCGCTTAGGAATTGATAAAAGCAGCGATCTCTTTAAAAGGTGATATGGATGGGGATGTGCAAGCGTTAGTTTGCTTAGATTATTAGCTGAAATTTTGAAATCCTGAGAACACTGGGTTGAGAGAATGTTGAAGCTAGAGATGATGTGAAGGCATCCTGGTCCTGTCATTTGCCAATTGCATCAGAATGAGCTTTGTTTCCCATCTCAGGTTTTTAGTCTTTGAAGTGAGAATAACAGTAAATTGGCAAACTCTGGGGTTAGTGTGAGCACACAAGGAGATAACAGATAAAATTGGGGGAAAGAAACATGCTACTTTGACATGTCACAGAGAAATGCAAGCTAACTGTGGCGATGTCTCATTCAGGTTCTCTGACACCTTCTTGTCCTCTTAGTGCAGTTTGGAGAAGAGGGTGGAGCCCTAAACATCACTGTGGGTAGGGGGCAGGCTGGGGTGAAGTCAGAAGCTCTGGTTGAGTAGAAAACCCAGTGTTTAGAAGTTAGGTATTTGTCTGTTTGCCACATTAGAGGTCCTGGACTAACTCGTACTTAGGTTTCTTAATTTGGACACATACAGTATTGATCCTGGCAATTATTTTAATGAAAAGTTGTGCTGGTTCTATGTGTGTTGTCCTCACTTAAAAATTGGCACTTATTGGTTCACAAAAAGTGATATTGCCTTTGTTAAAAATGCATTTTATAAACATTTAGTGACACTTGTTTCTGTTGATAATTTTTTCATTTGAAGAGTGAATATTAACATTTCATCTTTTTAGAAGACATTTACTTTAATTGGAGGGTAAATGTATATTTATATATACACAAGATTTTCTTTAGTTTTATTTCTTACTAGGAATAACTTAAAAGATATTAATGCTTTAATGTTGTTCCTAAATATCTAGAAATAGAAACAATCTGGTGTTCTTTGGTTTTTAGACTAGAGAAGTTTATTTTACTAGAATTTCTAGAGGTTTTTCTATGTATTTTCATGTATCTATTTTTGAGATCCTTTCATTATAAAAATTAACTCTTTCAACTTTTATCCATGGATGACTTTTCCCTAAACTTTGCTTCTTTTTTCAAAGATTATTATTTTAGGTGTTTTTTTTTTTTAATCAATCTTTTTTATTTTGCATATCTTTATTGATTTCAGAGAGAGGAAAGGAGAGGGAGAGAGAGAGAGAGACAGAAACATCAATAATGAGAGAGTCATTGATCAGCTGCAGCCCGCAACCCGGGCATGTGCCCCGACCGGGAATCGAACCCCGATCGCCTGGATCCTAGGTCGATGCTTAACCGCTGAGCCACGCCCGGCTGGGCTAGGTTATTTATTTTTAACTTGGTATAATAAGTTGAAAACAAAAAGAAGTAAATAACTTGTGTCAAAGTTGAAGAAATAAAAATAAGTGTACTCTGGTTTCCCCATATACACGCTGTTACATTAAAAAAAAAAAAATTTTTTTTTTAATTTCAGAGAGAGGAAGGGAGAGGGAGAGGGAGATAGAAACATCAATGATGAGAGAGTCATTGATTGGCTGCTTCCTGCACTCCCCCTACTGGGGACTGTGCCTGAAACCTGGGCATGAGCCGTGATCAGGAATCGAACCGTGATCTCCTGGTTCATAAGTCGACACTCAACCACTGAGCCACACCAGCTGGGCTACATTTTTATTTTTACTTTTATTTTTTGTTAATCCTCACCAACGATTGATTTTTAGAGAGAGTGGAAGGGTGGGAGAGAGGGGTAGAGAGAGAGAAACATTGATGTGAGAGAGACACATCAATTGGTTGTCTCCCCCACGCACCCTGACCAGTCCAGGGATCGAACCTGGAACCCACGTTTGTGCCCCTTGACGAAGAATTGAACCCTCGACCCTTTGGTATGTGCGCCTGCACTCTAACTACTGGACCAACCAGCCAGGGATAAGCTGTTATTATTATTATTTTTTTACTTTTTAAATTTATCTTTATTGTTGAGAGTATTACAGGTATCCCATTTCCCCCCCCCCCAATTGACCCCCTCCACTTCCCTC